ACAGTTACCTGTTGTATGACTATGACACCATTCATTTAGCCATTGCCATTGCCATTTTTATATTTAGGTTGAGTGGAAGCCTTTTGAATTTTGGAAATATGTGGTTTATAAGCTCTTTTTCCCCATAAGCTATGAAAGTGAATTTTCAAATGTCTGCTGGTATGACTGAGTAAAACTAGAATAATTCACCTTCATTAATTATCAAATAATAAGCTGGTTTATTCTGCCTTTTCATGGTTTTTAATATTAAGTCACCTGTTTATTTGCCTTTGGAAGATCTTATTTTGAAAGGTAGTTATTGTTTGCTGGCTAAAGAGAATACTTGTTATATTTTGATTATTCTTGCTCCTTTCAAAATAGGGAAAATGAATTTTAGTGGTATACAATGTGTTGTTTAGGTTCTATTTAGAATATTTTATTTTCTACTGAGCTTTTCTCTTCTCAAATGCTTCAGGTCTATGAAGCAATTGAAACCAGAGATGGGGAATCCTTCGCAGAGCTGGTGTCTTTCAAGCATCCTCATGTTGCCAACCCACGCTTCAGGTAGGTGAAAGGACTAAGCACAGAGAGGGATACAGTGTACCTGGCTTCCTAAGACAGGTTTAGAATTTGAGCTTATCTGTAGGTGATTATATTTGGCTGCCTATAGATTGCACCTCTGACCATATAAACAGTTCTTGAGCAGCCGATCAATAATTCTCTCTCATCATTGATGTTTCTGTCTCTCGCTCTCCTACTCCCTTTTTCTCTGAACTCAATAAAAATATATTTAAAAAACAAAACAAAACAGCCCTATCCAGTTTGACTCAGTGGATAAAGCGTTGGCTTGTGGACCAGAGGGTCCCTGGTTTGATTCTGGTTAAGGGCACGTACATTGGTTGCAGGCTCCTCCCCGGTCTGGGCCCTGGTCAGGGCTTGTGTAGGAGGCAACCAATCGATGCGTTTCTCTCTCTCTTCCACTCTCCCTAAAAAAAAAAAAAAAAAAAATCAATGGTGGAATACCCTCAGGTGAGGATTAACCAAAAAACAAAAACAAAACCACACACACATACACACACACACACACACAAACACCAAAAAATCCCCACACAGTTCCTGGAGTAGAAGCAGGCTTTTAAAAAAATAATTTAAAGTTTCCTAGGTTGTTCTAATGTGCAGAACACATTGAACCATTGCTCTAAATAGAAATTAGTGCCAGGGACTTGATGAGATTCAGGTGCACATCAGGGACACACATGTCTGTTTGTCCATTTATAATCTAAGGCTGATTTCTTCTATATAAAATTCCCCATTAACCTTCCATCTGATGGTTCCATTCATTGGTGGCCATTGTCCGAATCAATTGTTTCATTAGCGATTGTAGAATGGTGATTTTTCTGATGTCATTTTTCCCTCCCACATTTACATATGTATTGTATCAGTGTAAGAGTAGACTCATTGATTCCTTTTTTTTTTAATTCAGAGTGCTTTATAATCCATTGTAATGCTTATATTACCTAAAATTTGGTCATTGAGAGGAAAGAGTTAGAAGTAAATGTCAACTAGTCTAGACCAGTACAGAGAGAGGGTGGTTCTATCACCAGGAAGCTGAGAAGGAGTGATTCCTAACATGCCTTCTTCTCTAACACATTAGACTTTATTTATGTAAGGTATTATACACTTTATTTATTAATTATTAAGCACATAGTAGCTGCTTATTAAATATTTCTTGACTGACTGGCAAGAACTATTAAGGTATGTATGAAACATTAAGATATGTATGAAAGTGCCCAGACTGTTTCCTAGCCTGTGGTAGACAAAACATTGTATTAATCTAGTGCTGTATCCATAGTTCATGCTTGATTGATATTTATTGAAACAGTGAACCTTTTATTTAGAAATACTAAACTATAAAGTATTACTGTTAACTGTAAAGTCTATATTCTTTTGAAATAGGTTTGTTTAAATCTGTACACATTGTGTTCTTTCCATGCCTTTTAATTTTATTTTTGCCATTTTTCATCTTATCATTTCGTTTAGTTGGCCTCTCCGGAAGAGAAGTGTCAACAAGTTTTGGAACCCCCTTATGCTGAAATGTTTGCAGCTCATCTAAGGTAAGTAAAATAAGCACATCTTGGAGTTGCTGAATTGACTAAGGATTTTATTTAACATCACCTAATGCTTGAAACAATGAATAATTACTTTGGAAAAGTAGAAAAGTGTGTTTGCAATTTCACTTCGGTAAAGCCTGTGAAAATTTTGTAAACTTTAAAAAACTAAGATTTAAATAAACTTTTTTTTTAATTTCAAGGATCATGTATATTTTCAAAAGTTAAAATTATATTGTGATCATGTATATTTATATGTCTATTGTGTGTCACTAAAAAAACCAACACTTGATACTCATTATATTGGCTGTATAGTGATCTTTTGTTTAGTAGGGTGTAGAGCCCACATTTGACTGTATTTTCTCAGGGAAATATGCCTGGCTTTTCATCCCTTTGCCTAACTGGGAAAGAAACTACAGCTGAGCAAATAAGATATTACTTTTTATTTACATTTCATTTCATCTATGTTTATCTCTAAACCATCAATTCAGGCAAAGTTTTATGTCCTTACAGTATGTGGTGTTTGACTGCCTCCCTGCCTGCAATCCTTCCAGTGTTTCAGAGCAGGCTGGAGTTGGGGTGTGGGTGGGGTGGGGAGGCAAGGTAGGGTAGCCCTGTGAGATCTTAGGAAAAGTCGGGGTGCCACTGGGGTCTTTGTAGTGTAAGGTACCCTTCAATTTCCTAGCTCTGTGCAGTATGCCATGAGATTCCAGATTTGCTGATGAACTGACTAATAATGACTCTGACCAGCTGGGCATCTAGTTGGAGAGTCATCACTTATTAAAGTGCCATACTGTATTATCAGTACATGTTACTAATAAAACCTGCTGGCAGCTAGGTTCTCCTTCTGGGACTTGAAAGAATAGTCTCAAAACATAATGTGGGATTTCCTAATATACCAACCCATTTTACTTCAAATAGTTATTTGTGTGTTTCTTCAACTTATGTAGTCTTCCAAGCAGAAGGTCCATCTTTCACTACAGGATCAGTTGAGAACTGGGGTGTTTGTGATAGAAGATGTGTGGTCTATGTAGTTTACTTCTAGGATTTTATCCTGTGAATGCCCTGTCTGCTGCTTCAGTCCTCAAGCTCCAGTGTTTCTTTTCCAGGTGCACGTACGCAGTGGGGAACCATGACTTCATAGAGGCATACAAATGCCAGACTGTCATCGTCCAATATCTTTTGTCATCTGTTAATTGTTCAGTTTATAACATAGAGTGGATTACTTGAGGTTTAAGATTTTGAGACCTTGGGCTAATTTTATTTATCCCTGTAATTAGGAAAGGAATTAAAACTTTTTGGAAGAGAAACTCCTATTTACCTATTTCACTTGGTATTTAAATTTAGCATAGGTCTTAAGCCTATCATCTAGTTAAGTTTATAAGGATTTGGTTATGATTAAGGATTTTATTTAATTCTGTTATGAAGAATATTTTGTTGCCTCTAAAGCATTAAATGTAGTTACAGGGACTGGTTCCGTTCCCTTAGTGGAATATCAGAACTCCAAAATCCAGGTATAGATGGACAAAAGTGGACTCAACACACATCATCATTTAATTGTGGTCAAAAAAGACCTAATCAAGCCAAATTCTGATTTAAATCATTGAAGTGATAGCTTATAACTAAGCCCCTAGTCAGTGAGTGTCCTACTATTTATATGTATCTCTAGACTCAGTTTGCTCTTTTTTTTTAATCACCTTGTTTAAATATACGCAGAAGAGAGTTGTTTGCTAACTATTAGGTCTGCTTTGAATTCAGCAATTTTATAATTGATGAATTAAACTTTATACTATAGATTCCACAGCCCATCTGTATATATAAAAGCCTAAGCGACCGTTAAGACCAGATGACCAGACTGTGACATGCACTGACCACCAGGGGGCAGATGCTTAACTCAGGAGCTGCCCCATGGTGGTCAGTGCGCTCCCACAGCCAACCTCCTGCGGTCCCTCCCCCTGGCCAGCGGCCCTGATCAGCCCCGAATGCCCCCGATTGCCAGTCAGGCTGAGGGAGCCCCCTGACCCGTGCATAAATTCCTGCACTGGGCCTCTAGTTACATAAAAGTTGTGATCATCTGGGATCAGAGTAACCAAATAAAGTGTTTGTGATTGCCAATTTTAAAAAATCTTGTGCCCTGGCCGGTGAGGCTTAGTTGGTTGAGTGATATCGTATGCACTGATCGGTCACCAGTTCGATTCCCGTTTAGGGTACATGCCCGGGTTGCAGGCTCGATCCCCACTAGGGGGCATGCAGGAAGCAACTGATCCATGTTTCTCTCTTGCATGGATGTTTCAAATCATTTTTTAAAAAACTATTTTATGAAAATGGTCTTTTTCTTACTTTGGAGAAAGTATGTATGAAATAAATATATTTAGTACTTGCACCTTATGATACTCAGATATTTGTAAGTGGGTTTATACATTTTTTTCCTCAAGAACTTACTGCTATGAGTTTATAATTTTTAAATGGTGAGCTATCCCCCTGAAAGTTTAGAATTCTCCTTATTTATTCTTATTTGTAGCATTATTTAAATTTTATATGTTATACCTTAATGTAGTACATCATTCCTACGGGCGTTTCAGGCCCACAAAGAAGAAAACTGGTAAGTATGAACAAAAACAACTAGAAATTAGCCTCTTTTTTTTTTTTTCAGAAGCTTTAAAAAAATGTAATCTAGTTAAATATGTATCATATTTTCTATGTGAACATTTAATATGTATTGATGTAATGTCAACATGGATAATGGAATTTTAATAGTCATTGTAAACTTAAATGGCAGATCAGCCAGATTATTTGCAGTGTGTTTATATAAAAATGAAGTATTTTTATTTCAGCCCTTGCATGCCTCCAAATATTTATTAAATACAATTTTTTCCCCTTCAATTGTTATTTTTGGTTTTAAACTTGGACAAAAGAGGTAGATCACTGCAGTTCATTTGGGGTAATATAATACATAATAATTGGGTTATTTTAAATTGTTTGCCAAATTAATTCTTAATTTTATGATTTATTAACAAACTGTAGGCAAACACTGAAATTTTGTTTATATTGGAAAAAAGGCAAAAACAAAACCCCACACCCCTTTTTAAAGTGAAGGCTTATTTACCCATGAAAGGAAGACCAACACAGCCAGCTAGATTTAAAAAAATTTTTCTTTTATGACATTTTGTCTGTTGCATACTCCAGTTGCTGTTAGGAAATTTTACTAAATCACATCTTGCTTTAATGGAGTTGTTTGAATAATTGTGGGGAGTAGAGAAGGAGGATGTCCTGGGAGCAATGAGGAAGTGCTGCCTCAGTCTGAGGGCCCCTACGTGGACCAGTGTCTAAGCCTCTGAGGAGGGCCTGGGGTAGTAGGTGGAGAGAGCTTCAGTGTCTGGCCTCTGTTGATCAGGAAGCACAAGGGCTCCAAGCTGCCCTGATGGATGATGAGGAAGGTAACAGTAGCCATTGGATTATTGGAGGGGGGCTAACTCCTATTCTGGATAATAGCCTTGTGTGTAGATGTCAGTCCCACCTCTGGTAAGGGGCTCTCTGACCTCGTAGCCTCTTCAAACACCTGTATTTTTTTGCCCCTGTAGGGCTCTGCCTGTCATGTATGCAGTAGCACTTGATCTTCGAGTATTTGCCAGTAATGTAAGTTCAATTTTTATCATTATTGTTTTACAACCCAGACTTGGTATCTGTCTATTGCGTACTTTCATGTCATTCTTTACAGGAGTTTTGAGACATGAGTGGGGGTTGGGATATATCTGATAGGGAGAACAAAATAACAGGGATGTCTCAACTTTTCTTTTTGGGTTGATGTGAACAGATTTAAATAAACCGGTTTTCACACTGTAGCTATAGAGGGAGTTGTTTCTGTATATGGTTAATCACTTATGACATGCAAGATTTTTTTTTTTAAAGGGGATGGAACAGTAATAGATGGGCAATTCTGATTCTCTTCTACTGTTGAGATGTGGCCTGTCCCCTCTCTTAAAGAATTCCATCTTAATGTAGGTTGAGGCAATAGCTAAGGGTTTCTCTGGTATGAGGAGGTAAAGATCCTGGCTTTTATGGAGTTGCTTTCCCCTTGGGGATCAGCATCAGCCAGTTTTGGAGCAGCGTTTCTCAACTTTTTGGTCCTAAGACCCCTTTACAGTTTTAAAAATTATTAACGACTCTATGACTAGACAAGATGGAATAAGCACACTTTTCCTATTTCTCCTGCTGGGAATTTTAAAGCCAATATGACTCTGAGAGATGGAGAGAAATAGGGGGCAGGAACCTGCAGAGCAGTGAGCAGTGAATTTTCTGCATTTCTTTTTTGCCACCTCTCTGACCTAGCTGGGTCCCAGAGAAACCTGAAATCTGGGAATACCAACCCGCAGAGATGAAGAAGCCCCAAGAAGAGCAGGAAGGGGCAAGGCAGCTCATCAAGACAGACCTCTTTGATAATTCCTGCTGCATTCCGTACAAAGTCTGCGGGGCCCCAATCTCTGGGGAGCCAGACCCCCATCCCACCCAGTGCCATAGAGGTGGAGCCCCCATTACCACTGGCATGGTGTCAGCAGAGGCCTGCTGAAACAAGATAAATAAGATCCACAGCCTCGTAAGGTAATAATACCCCAAATGTCCAGGGTATAACTGAAAAATACTTATCATACCAAGAATCAGGAAAATCTTAGCCTTTTGAGATGTTGAATGAGGAAAGACAATCAACAAACACCAACACAGAGATGACACAATGTTGAAATTCCCTGATAAAGATTTTACACCAGCCATCATAAAAAGGCCTAAAGGAGCAATTACGAACATGCTTGAAACAAATGAAAATGTACAGTGTCAGCAAAGAAAAGATATAAAGAAGAACCAAATGGAAATATTAGAACTGAAATTATAGTGTTATCTACACTAATAAAAGACAAAGATGCTAATTGACTGTACCTTCACTACGCCCATTAGCCAATCAGAAGAGCATGCAAATTAACCCAACAAAGATGGCCATTAAATTTGCATACTGCAGGCGGGGCCAGCAGTGCACGACGCTGCCTGCGGGGCCCGGGCCCTGGATCCGAGACCTGGCAAGGCGGGGCCGGCAGTACCCGATGCTGCCCGGGGGATCCGGGTCTTGGATCCGTGATCTGGCAAGGGAGCAAAGCGGCAAAGAAGGGAGGGAGCCGTGGGCGAAGCGACGAAGGGAGGGAGCGAGGCAGCCCGCCTTGGTGGGCTTCGCTCCGGTCTCAGGAAGCTCTATTCTTGCAGGAATAGGCCCGAGGAAGCCCTATTCTTGCAGGAATCTTCCTGCAACGGGCCTCTAGTATGTGTTATATCTATGCATATTTACTGTATTAGAAATTTTAACTGGGAAAAATTTTAATATTCATTTAAAGTAAGAAATAATAGGAGGGCGGGTGCCTGTCTACAGTGATCTCATCAGTAACCAATGGGGAAAAAAGAGGACATATGTAATACTTTCAACACTAAAGATTAAAAATTAAAGTAATAAAACTTTTGCATGGTAACATAATTGACTTTTAAATAAAAAAATAACTATTTTTAGAATGAACAGAAAGTACTAAGAAGAATGATATTCTTTTGCAGTTTAATGCCTAGCGTAACAGAAGCCACCCAGATTCTCATTTCTGCTTCTGTGTTTACTCTGTTGTAATATGTTGTTTTGGTTGAATATATGAAGATAGTCTGGCCTTACACAAAGGTAAATGGAGTAGGGAGGAGTATTTTAGTAGCCTTTTCAGATAATTGTAGATACTCTTCTTTGAGCTGTATCAACACTCTAAAAGCTACTTTTTACAGGCTAGTTACAGTGTGGGCTCTGAAGCTTAGCAGTGAACTTTTTCCACTGTTACATCAGAATCCACTGGTGAGTCATGAACTTTGAATGGATCTTTTACCCTTGCATGGTTTTGTAAAATACATTGAACATTTGGAAACTTTTAGTTCATTGAGTTATGAGATGTTCCCACTATTGATACATTTCATTATGTAAAAAACAAAACAAAACCAGAAAAACTACATTTGTTAATATCTACAGTGACGTCATCAGAAGACTCTTGAAGTAATGGAAAGCTGCCAAGTTCACGGTGATCCATAGAAGTTTTCCAATTTTTTTTTTTTTTTTCCCTTGAAAGCACAAATACTGACATTGGTAACAAATACTGTCAGTTGTTTGCCTGAAAGTAATAGGCTTCTTTCATTCACTTTCAAGCACGCCTGAATTGCACTGCTTGTCTGTCAGTTCCATGGTGCAGCTGGCAATTCCAACAGTGCCCAAGTGCTTTCCTTAAAACAAACATCATATTTTGCTGTGGGACAGACATACTTTGAATATATTTCCCATTTCACCACAAATAACATTAGAAATTTATGTATTTAAGGACCAAGACTTAATGATACTGCATCATTAAGGACATTTTAAAGTGAAATTAGCTTTGTTGGTTAATTGATTGATGGATTGTGGATGCATGATGCTCCAGTGGTTTCACCTACTATTGTTTTTGCACCATCAGTGAAAACTGTGCACATGTCAGTACAATAAAAAGAAATAGTAATTTAATTTAGTATTATTATGAAAGTAGTTTAACCATGTGAGTTATCTGCCAGCATCTTGAAGGCCCTCAGGAACTCATAGATCACACTTGGAGAACCTGTGATAGGGAGATTATGAGTGGGAGAAAATGGTTCTTTTTTAATGAAGACTATCCTGAAAGCAAGGAAGAGGTCAAACTTGGTAATGACTTCGGTATTTATTGAAAAGTGTGTGTGTTTCAAGGTTTTTAATAGCTGTGTGTAGGAAATGGGAAAGTCAATAATGAGGGAACAAAAGGCTTCTTAATGCAGGGCTACATGCAATGGCTTAAAAAATTGGTTGACTTATTAGCTTGAATTAGTTGAAGAGAGATTTGATTTGTGGAAGAGGTGGACTAAACTATAATTCTAGATGATTTCATCAGAACCCTTTGGGACCTTTGTAGCCTTTTTTTTTTTTTTTTTTTTGCTTCTAGCTGCACTGTGATTTTCTTTTTTAATTAAGAAATCTAGCAGAAATAAAAAGTAAATGTTTTTACATTCTTTTAGGCAGATCAGCAGTTGGTTAAGAAAGGAAAAAGCAAAGTTGGGGACATGTTGGAAAAAGCTGCTGAGTTGTTGATGAGCTGTTTCCGAGTCTGTGCCAGTGACACGTGAGTAAGGTTTTGGAGACATATTATCAGTCTCCTATCATAATGCATTGCCCCTTCCCTGCCCTTTGTCTGTTGTTGACATTGACTTGACTTCTACATATGTGTAACCCCACAGTCATTTTATTTTTTGCTTTTAACAGTCAATTGTTTAGTAAAGAAATAAGAAAAGAGAAAAATAGTCTTTTATGCTTAGTCACATATTTGCCATTTGAGCTCTTTAATATTTCCCATACAGTAGATCTGAGTTTCTATCTGGTACCATTTCTCTTTTCTCTGAGACTTTGATTTAGCATTTTGCTTTTAGTGTTGGTCTGCTGACAATGAATTCTCAGCTTTTTTTCTGAAATTCTTTATTCTGTCTTCATTTTTGAAGGATCCTTTTGCTAGGTGGAGTATTCTAAATTGGACTCTTTTCTTTTAAGACTTTAAAATGTCATTTCATCAGCTTTTCTATGTTTCTCATGAAAAGTCAGTTGTCAGTTCTTATTGTTGTTCGTTGGTATGTAATGACTCTTTCCTTTGCCTTTTTTTCTCTTCACTTTTGGCTTTCAGTAGTTTGACCCTCATGTACCCAGGTGGTTGTTGTTGTTTTTTAATTCTCACCCAAGGATATGTTTTTATTGATTTTTAGAGAGAGAGGATTAGAGGTTGAGAGAGAAACATCAATCAGTTGCCTCCTGTTCGCATCCCAATTGGGAATTGAACCCACAGCCTTTTGGTGTATGGGACTACGCTCCAATCAGCTGAGCCACCTGGCCCGGGTACCCTATGTATTTTCCTGTTTTTCTTATTTATGGTTCCTTGGGCTTCTTGGATCTTAAGTTGATGTTTCTTAATAGATTTTTCTAAATTTAATTTTTTATATTCTTCAACTGCTTTTTCTTTCTCTCATTCTTTCTCTTTTCTTTCTGGGGCTCCAGTTACATGTACATTATACTACATGATATTATTCCACAGGGCACTGATATACTGTTTGTTTTTCAATCTTTCCTCCCCCTCTCTTTCATTTTGGGTAATTTATGTTGACCTGGTCTCAAGTTGACTGTTCTTATTAGTATGTATGTATTTATTTATTTATTTTAAAATATCTTTTTATTGATCTCAGAGAGGAAGGGAGAGGGAGAGAGAGATAGAAACATCAATGCTGAAAGAAAATCATTGATTGGCTGCCTCTAGCACACCCCCTACTGGGGATTGAGCCTGCAACCCGGACATGTGCCCTTGACCAGAATTGAACCCAGGACCCTTCAGTCCGCAGGCCAACACTCTATCCATTGAGCCAAACCAGCTAGGACCACTATTTAATTTTTGCTTCTAGACTTTCCATCTGATTCTACTTTAGAGTTTCCATTTTTCTCCTGAAACTCCATCTCTTCACCCATTATAAAGCTATGTTTATTTGAGAGTTTTAGGAGATTTTAAAGCAAAGAAAGGAAAAGCTTTCCATGTGTAAATAAACAAACAAAATCTCTAGTCCACAGAAAAGTGTTTCAGCTTCTCATTTCTCACCACTCTGTCCCCACCGGCCCCACCTCAAAACATTGCACCCAAGCTGGACTAAAGCAGTTCCTCCCAATACTCCCCACCGAGGCTTTCCACACATGCCATTCCTTTGCCTGGCATGTCTTCCCAGCTTTTCATCTGGTTGTCTGCTTATTTCACAGCTTTCCGCCTCCCCTAAACTTTCATGACAGTTTGTACTTTGTGTTCACTACACTCAGCAAAAGTAATTATTTTGGTGATGTTTGGATGATGTTTGTTCAATTTCAAAGTCCGTGAGGGCATGTATGCGGCTTTCACATGGTGTCTCTCACACCAAGGTAGCCCTCAGGAAATATTGATTACATGAATACTTGGACTTCTATTTGATTATGTGTTCCTGCACAGCAGTGATCTTCATGACCTTGGTTTGGCAATGGTTTTCTTAGCTGTGAAACCAAAAGCGCAAGCACCCAAAGGAAAAATAGATAAATTGGACTTCATCAAAATAAAAAAACTTATGTGCTTCAAAGGACACTACCAAAAAAATGAAAAACAACCATAAAATGCTTTATAACGATTAGCTTTTACATACTATTGCTGCAAACTAGGCAGTTTTCAGGTGCTGCAGCAGAGGGAGTGTATTACCTAATAATTATCTGGGGTTAGAATTCCTGGTTTGGACTCTTCAATTTTACCTATTAGATAAGACATCTTCTTTCAAAATGTGGTTTTATTTCATAAATATGACTTAAGCTGTAAGATTTTATCTCAACATATCAATTTGTTTAGACAGTTTATTTTGTAATTTATAAATATAATTCTTATTTCCTATGTAACTGGATAAAAATTTTTTCCCATAGTCGTGCTGGTATAGAGGATTCTAAGAAGTGGGGGATGCTGTTTCTGGTGAATCGGTTATTCAAGATTTACTTTAAGGTATGCTTCTGTTTGAATAGTGTGTACATTTCTTTCTCCTGTCTTCCCAGATACCATTTCTATTAATTATCAGCTAGCTCCCCTGGCATTGCTGGGGAAATGGTCATCACCTAGCCATATTTGTAATCCTAAGAGCTAACATTTGTTGAGTGCCTGCTAAGTGCAAGGCACTATTGTAAGAAATGTCGCCTTGTTTAAAAAACCTCAGCCCTATGAGGTAAGCTTTTAGCTCCAGGGGAAACTAAGGTGCCCGCATATTAAGAGTGTGCTGGTGTGCTGAACTGGGCTTTCAGTGAGGAGTTTCACTCCAGAGCCTTCTGCCAGAACATATGGGCCTATGAATGGGTGAAGAAATCATTCTTTGCTACATGAGTTGGCCAGGTGAAGAGCAGCTATGTCACACACCAGCGGCTGGCCCCTGGCCCCTATGGGGGGCCTTCATTCGGAGGGAACATCTGCCCTGGAAGCACCTCTGCCTGATGCTCTTCTTAGGGCTTTCTCAAGTGGGTATAATCTGTGCCATATGGCTTCTGTTTCGATTTTAGTATTATATGATCAATTTTGATGATGGTAATGGGTTTTGTAATTCCCAGTTTAAGGTTGCATATGCTTAGTAAAGTAGAAGTTTAAGTTGGTCCTGCCTGTTTGTTTTTTTTTTAAATAACATGTTTAGTGGATTATAATTTGTTATAGATCAACAAACTCCATTTGTGTAAACCTCTCATCAGAGCCATCGACAGCTCAAATCTGAAAGAAGATTATAGCACAGCACAGAGAGTAACATACAGGTACTATGTTGGACGAAAGGCCATGTTTGATAGTGACTTTAAACAAGGTATGTTGTTAATCATTTTTTCCAGTATTTTAAAGCCATTGCATTCTGAACAACTCTGTAATGTAGTTTTAGAGATCACAATTATTACAATTTATTATTACTTAAAGTGGAATATAGGTGTAAACCAAGTTCAAGTTATTTTTTGTTTGTTTATTTTTGACACTAAAGTTGGTTAAGTAAAAGGAAAATTGTATTTGAAGTTTCTTAATCCATGCTGGGTCTCTGAAATACATGCAGACTCTCAGTTATTCTGGAAATCTTTTTTCCGTGAGGAAGTAAGCAGCAGTATTCTTGGCATTTGATAAAAGTAATTGTTTTCTCCCTTTGCCTGTGCTGATCATGCTGGCACAGGACGTGGAGACTGGGGCAGCAGGTAGCTCAGCTGCCAACTTGCTGCTTAGAAATCCCCCATGGAATGCCCAGGCGAGCAGTGGGAATGTGTCCTTGTTCTGGTGTTGTCTTTGGTGTTTGTGGCCATAGGCGATGGTGTCATTACCACATCAGAATGGCGCTTTCGTGAAATTACATTATTGTGCAATTTATATCATTAACTTTCTCAAGAACATGATGCCAGTTTTTTTCTTTTTAAACTTTTTGATTAACTGGCATGAGGTGGTTCTTTATAACTTCTTTTATTGTACTCAGACCAGACTTTTTAATTCACCTCTTCAACAGCTATTTGCATACGAAACAACATAACTTCAGGCAATATAAGATAGATAAAATCACTTTTCTCTCCCCATGTCTTATAGCCATGGATTCTCTGATAACAAAAATAACAGCTCTTTCATCTTATTTTTTATTCTATAGGCATATACAGACGCAATTTCAAATTTTCTTTTACAAAAAAAATTTCATAGATGTAGGACTTTTGAAAATGGACTTTCCTTGGTTATTCTTCATCACTGCTTTTTTTTTCCTTAAATTATGAAGCATAAGAAGAAAAGCTTTTAAATTATATTGAAGTCTATTAAGGCATTGATAGGTTTTTGCTCTGAAGGTTCAAGTGTTTTTAATACCCAACAACAAGAAATGAATTGTCAGTATTATTGGTAGACATTTATAGTTTCTGAAAACTTTAGAACCTTTGTATAAGGATAAATGGCAGGATAAAGAGCATAGAGGGAACTTCAGTAGCCGTATATTTTAAAAGATGCTCTTGTCTGACCTTTGCCGATGTCTCTGCAGCCGAGGAGTACCTGTCCTTTGCCTTTGAGCACTGTCACTGTTTAAGTCAGAAGAACAAAAGGATGATTTTGATATATTTACTCCCAGTAAAAATGCTGTTGGTGAGTTATTCAGTTCTTATAGACCCCTTTGCTTTCAAGAAGCTTATAGACTTTGTAGAAGCTTATAGATGGTTTGTAGTTGATCACAACCTGAGCTGCATATGAGCCCACCCCAGAATAGAGGAAGAATAGCTTTGTGTGTAGCCGGAACCATGTATCTTCATGATTGACACTTCCAGATCCTTCTTTAAAGGCTTTGTTTGTATTTCCTTCCTATTTAAAGTATCTACTTAAGAAATTTAACGTAATATAGGACAAATAAAATAAGTTCATATTATTTCTACTCCCCCTAAAAAATCTACATTAATAGAAATGGATTAGCCAAGAACGGAAAATGTCATTCCAGCCTATTTGTAGGTGTCTTATTTGGTCACCAAAAGTTATTTTTGGTACTTAACAAGCAATGACAAATAACTAATATGTTAATTGGCTAAAACATTCTCAAAGTGATAGATAGACCTTTCTATCCTCCCATTTAACATTTTCTAAAAGTTTATCAAAGCAGTGGACACATTTGGTTAAAATTATTTTAGTTCAGGATAGCTTATATTGGCAAAGGTACAATGTTGTACATACCCTTTCTACTTCTAACTATCCTTCACAGAAACAAAGAAGATAATTTTTTTTAAGCTTTATTCTTCTAAAGGTTGTTTCTGTATTTCTAAATCTGAATTTAGAAATTTCTTCAGTTATCACTTCCCTCCTATTATATTAAGGGCAAGAGACATGGGAAGGTCATATGTAACTGAATGACACAACTATATTATACCAAGGTTTTCTGATTTCTAGATCAGTTTCCCCCCCTAGCATACTATGATGTTTTCAAACCTTGTTCAGCTACTTAAGAAGAAATTCTAAGAAATACAAGTTTGCAAGTTTTTAAAACTTAGTTCCTTGATAAGGATTTTATCAAAAATAATTCTGTTTAAAAAAATAAAAAGCGAACAACCAAAAAAAATAACACAAACACCCAAAAAAACAAATTCTGTTAAAAAAGAAAGGGCTCTTATTCTGGAAAATTAACTCTTTGTCTTAGGGTCATATGCCAACCATTGAGCTTTTGAAAAAGTATCATCTCATGCAGTTTGCTGAAGTAACCAGAGCTGTAAGGTAGAGTATTTTATTCTTTTCTATTTGGGATTTTTTAAAATATAAAATTAATAAAATTTCACACACCAATTAAGCAGTTGAACCAATTGCTTTTGGTGTGATCTCATCCTGGGATTTTGTTTTGTGACCATGCTTGCTCATTTTTCCCCCCGTCACCCAGTGAAGGCAATCTCCTTCTATTGAACGAGGCTCTAGCGAAGCATGAGACCTTCTTTATTCGCTGTGGCATCTTCCTTATCCTTGAAAAGCTGAAGATCATCACCTACAGGAATCTTTTTAAAAAAGTGTAAGCAAAGTATTTTTGTAATAAGTTGAAACTCTTTGTATGACTCATGTAGAGTTGTCAGGTTATGAAAACTTAAAATAACAGGTGCTGTGTCTTCTGAGATGGAGATGTCAGTCTGTGTGGACAAGGTCCCATCACTTTTCCTTTAATTGTGTGAAATAAAGTGAAAATTCCCCGGCCCACCCACTGCCTCCAGGCGTTGGTGCCACACAGTGCGTGAGCAAAGGCTCACTTGTGGGAGGGATAACTCGGGGTATGCATGATAAGAGAACTTAGCAATAGATATTTTAAAACACCAGCCCTAAGAATAAAATATTCCACATTTTATCAGAGTGTGTGGGACAGAGTTGTTCATTTTCTTTATTCATAATTAAACCTCTCCCTGCCACTCCTGTCTGTCAGAAAGTTGAATTCTTCTGCACTTGTTTGTTTTCATCCATGTAACACTGGAAGTTGACTCTTCTTCAAGGCCTGATCCTAACAGGATCTCAGTTAAGAAACTTCAAACAAAGGCAGACTTTTTATAGCTGTAAGTAGTATATAAAAAAATGGCAAGGACCATATTTCATCGAATCCATTTTAATACATTGTTTGCGGGTAGTTTTTATTGCGCGCTAACAGGTGGCTCTACTTCTTACAGTCAACGTAAAACGTATAAATACGTTTCCTGCATACAATGTGTTAAGATTTCAGAGATAGTACAATGTGAAAATACCTTCATCTTAGATTCCTTGAAATATTCAGTAAATATAAAAAATTATACTTGTACTAGTGGCTTTTTCAAATTGAGAAGACAAAATTATCCTATAATAAAATGCTAATACAAAAATTACCCGAACGGTGGAACAACCAGTTGCTATGAGGTGCACTGACCACCAGGGGGCAAATGCTCAATGCAGGAGCTGCCCCCTGGTGGTCAGTGTACTCCCACAGGGGGAGTGCCGCTCAGCCAGAAGCCGGGTTCAGGGCTGGAGAGCACAGCAGCAGTGGCAGGAGCCTTTCCCACCTCCGCGGCAGCACTAAGGATGTCCGACTGCCAGCTTAGGCCCTCTCCTGGCATCAGTCTGACATCCCCCAAGGGCTCCCAGACTGCAAGAGGGCACAGGCTGGGCTGAGGGACGCCCCCTCCCCAAGTGCACAAATCTCGTGCACCGGGCCTCTAGTATTTAATAACTCTTATTTTTAGCGTGTATTTAATAGGTGGAAGATTCTTTTCATTCCTAGTGGTATGTTTCGTAGAAGATGTGTTTTCTACTGACTTAGTCAGTGCTCTTTTTCTTAACTTTTGAAGTACTTGCATTCTGTTGGTAACTAATATGAACTTCTGTTTCCCTCTTCTAGGTACTTGTTACTCAAAACACACCAGTTATCTCTGGATGCTTTTCTAGTTGCTTTGAAATTCATGCAAGTGGAAGACGTGGACATCGATGAAGTCCAGTGTATTCTAGCCAACCTGATATACATGGTGCGTGAGCTCCTCGGTTCAGGTTAGGACTTGGTCTAGATCAGTGGTCGCCAACCTGCTGGACCTCTCAGACCACCAGTGGTCTGCGGACCACCGGTTGGCAACTGCTGCTCCAAAGGTTTCCTTAAACCAGCGGTTGCCAACCTTTCAGACCTCACGACCACCAGTGGTCCACGGACCACTGGTTGGCAACCGCTGGTCTAGAATGTGAAGCTTTGATGCACTGTCGTTAAAGTTGTTATCAGACCCTTTTCCTTTGTGAAGGTATTTTCTGACAGAATTAATTGTATCCCAGGAAATACCATGATAATCAAAGGGCTTTATAGAGGGTTCGGGTGGGTGAATATAATATATATTTCTATATTCTCCGTATATAACTTTATTTATTGTTCTCCCAATGACTTGAATTGCACTATGATTGGGGAAGAATGCTTATACCAGAAGAATAAGTAATTAACTCTCTCAACATCAGTGATGTGACTCAGGAACATAAACTAACCCTGTTTTTCTCCTACAGGGTCACATCAAAGGCTATATATCACATCAGCATCAGAAGCTAGTTGCTAGCAAGCAAAATCCATTTCCTCCGCTGTCTACAGTGTGTTGAATGTATAAACACATGTTCCTCTGGTGTTTATCGTACTGATGAAATCACTACTTTGCCAGGACATTACTTTCTGCAGCCGGAATCTCTTTGGGGCTCTTCTCTCAGGGATGTTGAGACTGAGTTCCCCGCATTCACAGCCACCTTGACATTTCCTCATCACTCATTACTAATGTCGACCTCACGGAGACTTGGAATTTCTTTTTCAAGTGTTGCAGACCCTCCTTTGACTCTGGAGCATTGGAGAAACTTCTGTGAAGGAGGCTCTTCTCCAAGGCAGCTACAGTTTACTTCTCCCAAGAGTTATGCACAAGTGCAATTTTTTTAATATAATTTTTCTATATAAAAGGCATTCTGAATTTATACAAGTGACATAAGTCTTTATTATATCTTCTGGGAAACGAAATTTTGCTAAGATTTTAAAATTCACTCTTTCCCCCCCATTGTCCTTACCATTAGTCTGCGTTGAATTAGCATATTTGTTTTTGCCAAGGTCCTTTCAGAGAAGTGGGCCAGTGTGCCTACAGATTGGCAAAAAAAATAGTTTAATTCTGGGGTTAAAGTATATCAGAAATGAAGGAGAGATACGTAGTGTGTTTAAGACGTGTAAGATTTAAAAATCTGAATTGTGTATACATTTCCAATATTTCACTCAAAATACAGTTTAAATCAACTCACATTTTATTTTTAATCTTTTAAAGTATTACATGTCTCCTTTTTTCCCCAATTAACCCCCCTGGCCACTCCCACCCTTGAGGGCAAGCCCCCACTGCCCCAGTGTCTGTGTCCATTGGTCATGCTAATATGCATGCATATAAGTCCTTTGGTTGATCTCGAATCCTCCCTCCCCTGCCTTTTCCCTGAGGTTGGACAGTCTGCTCAGTGCCACCTTGTCTCTGGATCCATTTTTGTTCATCAGTTTATGTTGATTATTATATCCCACACTAGAGGCCTGGTGCACGAAATTCGTACCCGGGTAGGGTCTCCCTGGCCAGGACCTTCCTTCCCTGGCTACCAGCTGCTGGCCAGGACCTTCCTTCATTCCGCACCACCCCCTGGTGGTCAGTGCATGTCATAGCGAGTCATGGTATTCCTGGTCTCCCAGTCGAACTCCCAAGGGGACACTTTGCATATTAGCCATATATATATATGAGAGGCCTGGTGCACGAAATTTGTGCAGGAGGGGGGCAGTGGGAGGGGTGTCCCTCAGCCTGGCCTGCACCCTCTCCAATCTGGGACAACCCCTTGGGGGATGTCCGACTGCCCGTTTAGGCCCGATCCCAATCGGACATCCCTCACACAATCTGGGACTGCTGGCTCTTAACAGCTCGCCTGCCTGCCTGCCTGATTGCCCCTAACCCCAGCGGTTCTCAACCTGTGGGTCGCGACCCCTTTGGTGGTCGAACGACCCTTTCACAGGGGTCACCTAAG